TTGTTAGATGCACTTCCATATTGACTGTCCACCAATTTTGAAATCTTTTTAGAGCCATGCCAGAGGAGATAAATGGAGTAAATTTAAACTCACTCAGGTCCTTCAACAGTTTAAATGTGGCTTCCTCTAGCTTAGATTTTGGTACTCTTAGGTCTCCGGCTGTGAGGTGGATATTCGAGAGACTACAGAGTGGAATGGAAATTCCTTGGGTAAGCCCACATTGCCTGGCAAACTGGGAAGGACAATATATCTAAGATATGCACTTGTAGGCTTGAGGGTTTAAAGTACCAATGAACAGTTCCCTCGGCAACAAAATAGAAGCCCACATATCTTTATGCGATTGACTGGAACACTCTCTATCAGCCAAGAATGTTCGTAGCCTATTTGGTCCTTTATTGGCATCGAATGGGCAAAAGAAGGTGGCAGCTAGGGAAGTAGGAAACTGATGAAAAAAGGTAAGATAGTAGGCAAAAGAAGCAGGATAAAGGGCAATTCTAGCATACTTTTCTCCATAAATGCTAGGGTCTTGGACTAAGAACTTCAAGCGCTTAGGATGCAGATTAGTGAAGTATGCAATGAACCAGAGTTGAAGCACCCAGAGGGAACCTCCCTGGTTGATAGCAAGAGGTCTTTCACAAAATTGGGAGCAGGCTCTATAAACATGGCCAAGAACATAAGGGGCCAAGGCTATTCGTTTCTTTAAAACAAGGGCCTTGGCAAGAGAGGGAAATTCAAGCATGATCCTTTGGGATGGGGTACAGAAGAGGAACTTGCAAAGCCAATATAATATAAAAGAAAAGAATTCTCTATCAATCACAAGGCCCTCTCTTCTATTCTCAGCCTTGACAAAATCACTATAGAATGAGTTAAGAGAAGGGAAGGAAAAAGGGGTTTTAAGGTCTAGATAGCTAGGTGTAAAAGGAGTACCGAGTGGTGAAAGCCCTAAGAGATGACAGATATCAAGAACGGTGGGTGCCATCATACCACACCGAAACTGAAAAAAGTTAAAAGCCATATTCCAAAAGCAAAGAGCGACAGGAATAAAAAAAGGGTCTTCAGGAATGATAAACCTGGAAAGACGAAGGGCGTCGAGAATACAGAGCTCTTGCAGGTCCCATGCTCTTGTAGGCACTCGACCCATCAACTTTAAATTTAGCAATCTCTTCATCAATACATCTTTTTAAAGCCATTGCTGGGCTTATACGTTAGCTAGTTGGTACTTTCAAAGAAAAGGACTCCATCGGCAACAAGCAGTGAGGAAGAAAGGGTCAGTAAAGATGATGGGTTTGTGGGATAGGCAAATGGGTGAATTCAAAGCATGAAATAAAAGGGTTTTAAAACTTTTGTGTCTAAAAAATATACCCAGTCGTTTTATGTAAGCGGAATTCATAAAGAAGTACTAAAGGTACGGATGCGAAAAGTTTCCCTCAATATTGATAGTTATGGAGGGAAACAAATCTCAAATACTGATGGCAGCTTCGAAATAAAGTATTTGGCTTCGAAGCCGAGTTTGGTGCCAAAATCAAATAACAAACAGTTTCGAAAGCAGGAAGTCTACTTCGAACCACATTCCACACCTAAGGATGCAAGAATACTCAGGAATTTGTTTACTTCAAAGGGATTAAAGACCTGTTTTAGGTTTCTTGATAAGAGTATAATCTTTCGAAGCAAAACTTCAAATACCTTAAGGTAGGAAATTGTTTGTTTTAAGTTTCAAACCAATAGTTGGTTTGATAGTATACAGAAGAAATCACTTTTTTAGAATAAAACAGTACAGTCCTTAAAGAGATTTCTATATTTTGGAAAATATAAACAGTTTGTTTGAAACAAAAATTAGTTGATTTTTGCTTCATCGTATTAACCATATGCTGGAGAATTGAATATGATCAAATCAAGTTTCAAAGGACAAAGTTGGGTAATTCGAAGCTGATAGCTGAAGAATTATGTTAGTCCTAGAATCAGTATGAAACGTAATACTTGTCTTCTCAAAAGAAAAGATTTCATATTTTGGAAGAGCTTGAGTTGGAATGGAGTCCAAGCACATCAATCATGTAGTTTACAATTGGAATACTAAATTAGAATTTGATAAATGAAATTCGAAAAGCCTAGTTGTATTGATAAGTGCTGTTTACACTAGGATTCATTTGATTATATTCTCGATTTCGTATAAATATGGAATGGAGAAAGTTACAAGGTCATGGAATTTAGTTCAGCAAAATTCAATAAATGAATACTCTTTACCTACTCTATCCTCTATCTTGTCTAGGTTTGGTTTATCTAATTAGTAAGCCCTCAATTAAGAAAAGAGTTGTTGGCCTTCACTTCGAATTCTATCTTTTTTAGAGCTTTATCTGTGGCGTCCATTTCCTCTTCTTCATGCACTTCGTTCATAGCAGCATCCTCCCCATACTCAGAATCCTGACTCTTGAAGGCTTCATATTCATCAAGAAGGTTTTCTGTTTCATACTGAACCTGGATTCGAGCAGAAATGGCTTCATCTAGAACTTCACTGGTAATGGAAGCATGGAAGTGCCAGTTGAGCAGGAGAGGAAGTTGGTCTAAAAAGGTATAGAGCTCTATTTGGGCCACAAGGTTAAAGAGATGGCTTCGAGACATAATGTCACAAGCCCATAGAAAGTTTTGGTGGGAAATGTCATTTTGAAGGACTTCAAAGGATAAATGAGAAAATGCAGCAAGCAATATCTGAACCCTGAATTGCTGATAAGGAGTTGGAGGCGCCAGGACCCTGTAAAGGGGGAAGGATCGGCCTTCAGAGAGAGTAAGCCTAAACTCATCAATCCAATTTGGGTTAGAAGGCAGAGGAGGAGTAGTCGGAGGTTCCCTAGGTGAGTCTAGAAATTCAGGTCTGACCACATATTCTAACAAATCAGAGGGATAAAGTTTTGCCTTTTTGGCTAAAAGCGCAGGACTGATCCCTAGAGCTTCATCAGGATATGGGACACTTTGAACCATCCGAGATGGCAAGGTAGAAGTATACCATGATATAAGTAGATTGTCTTCAAGACTGCGTCTGTTGTTAATAGGAACATATAGATATACTACAGAACTGCGTTTGGAAGAAGGAATGTCAAGAGGGTCATCGAATTCAGGAAAACGATGATGAATGCGTTCCCTTGTTTGAGAATAAGTAGAGGTAGACCAAGTTCCCCAGCCAGATGCCGTAGAAGAAGAAGAAGCAGCAGCAGCTTTGTCCCACGCAGATGGTTTTGTTCAAGAAGAAGAGCTTCCGATATCCATGGCCTCAAATTCGCATTCCAAAGAATCGTAAACAATAGGTTCTTGGTTTGAAGGTCGATAATTTGCGAAAGCTTCCATAACTTATATAAATGAAGGCGGGTAAAGGTGGCTAATCAATGCATGAAGGTTCTTTTGAGGACGAACAACATCATCAAATAACTCTTCGTATGCTTGATCAATGTAAGAAAAGCCTTGTTTGGCCATGAAAGATGTATTAGTCTTTTCGAATACTGAGATAGTGAGGATGATCAAAGAATAAAAGAGAATTTAATGCAAGTGTTTCATTGATAAATGACGGTTGCATTTCTGAAAAGTGTAAAGCCTATGCATATTCTGAGATGTGGGAGGGGTAATGTTGGTTACATATTTTGTATAAGCCAATCACAGTTTGACACATGGTGGGATGAGGGCAATACGAGAAGATAATTCAAATCTTCAATTGTAATCATACACGTGGCAGTCAGTATTGGTTATTAAAGATCCGTGTAGTATTGGATCAGCAAAGGAATACAAGATGACGTGGCTTTAACGGTAATACAAACATTCAAATTCGAAATCAGGAGGGAAGCCTAACTGCAGATATGGCATAGTGGAGCTAACTGTAAGAAAACATCAGCGATCATGGAGGAGTGGTTTGACAGTTAGAAGTTCATTTCGACTGCTGGCATTGAGAAGTATAAATAGCAGAGAAGGTCTCAGAAAGCCCTCCAGAGTCAGATCCAAAAAACCATTTTTATCTACTTTTCTTTCCTTTCCAGTTTTTATGTTTCTTGTTCTTTACATTCCAGTACTTTAAATTTCTGCACTGCACTTCGTTCATAGGAGTAGTTTCAAGTAGTCTGTCGCTGTAAACCTCTACGAGACTGATTTCGATCTTTGTAAGTCTTCTATTTTATTTAATGAAATGCTATAATTGTTCTTCATTTAATCATTGTCTGCTTAATTCTCCTAAAACAAAGCCACCAATAAAAATCTTCTTTATTAAGGCTGAAAGGGTTAAAACAGAATCGTCTGATAATTGGTTGGTAATTAATATTCTATAAGGACTGATCGACCCTTATTGATACGCTCTAAATTACAATACTAACTTTCAAAAATCAAAAAGTCAACACTAAATTAACATTTTGAATTTACAAAATAAATTAAAAATAGATTTGTATATAATTTTTCAACATGTTTTGGTAGACATGATTTTGGAGGCATGATCTTGCGGATAAAAGTGCACTATAACCAAGGAAGGAATAGTATCTATTTAGGTTGGTTTGAGATGTTCTAAAAGAATATGGACTTGTTTGGTTTATTTTTGAAAAAAAAATTTGAAAAAAATTCTCTACAAACAAATTTTTAAGAGTAATCAAACCAAACAAATTTTTTCAAAAAAAATCTCAAAATTTTGTTTGGTTTGCTGCTTTCCAAAATCACCCTCTCTCTCATACACATCAAATCAATCACTTTTTTAAAAATCTCTCCCCAAAACAATTTCTCAAAACCATTTATGAAAAAAGGCAAACCAAACAAGTTTTCGTATTTTTTATCTCAAAAACTACTCTACAAACACAAACCAAACAAGCCCTATATTTTTTGATTTATTAGTTTATATAAGTTGGGTTTGGATTGGATTTGATGTAATGTATTAAAGAAGTGATGTGATTTAAATAAGATGATATGACTTAAATAGATTAAAAATTCTTTGACATTTTATATTATTTAGATTATGCCCAACTTGACCAAAGATAAGAAACGAACGGGGCCAGTAACTCTTTTTGGCAAAACCACTACACAGCAGCAGGAGCAAATTGGAACTTGAACTAGTGAGAAGGAAGTTGGGAATCAAGGGAGAGAGAAAAATGGGTTCGCCACTTGCATCATCATCATCATCTTCAGTAGTAGTAGCAGCAGCAACTGCTAAGATCACAGCTCCATACGGGTCGTGGAAGTCACCCATCACCGCCGACTTAGTCTCCGGCTCCGAGAAGCGTTTAGAGGGTTTCTCCCTCCTCCACTCCCAAAACCGCCTCATCTGGCTCGAGTCTCGCCCTTCCGAATCCGGGCACGTCCCTTTTCCCACATTTTCCCCGAATCCAAACACTTCTCATTACACCTTCTCCAATCCTTATTTTCTTTTTTTTCCATCAATCTTCACTAAAAAAAAACTTCCAATCCTTTAACTTTTTCATTTCATCACATCTTTTTTTAAAAATTTCAAACTTGAAAATTTGGTGAAGAAATTACCTCTTCCTCTCATTTTGATACATATTTGATAAAATAGTTGTAGCATATTGTTACCCATTTTTATTTATTTATTGCATTTGGATTTGATGAAGGATTGCTCTAATCTAACTATATCTCATAAAATGTTTACTAAATTTTGTGTGTGTTTAGGCGATCGGTGCTTGTTAGAGAAGCAGAGAAACCAGGAGATGAACCCACGGATATTACACCCACAGGGTTCTCGGTACAGTCAACGGCTCAAGAGTATGGTGGTGGAGCTTTCGCTCTTTCAGGCTTCACTCTTATTTTCTCAAACTTTGAGGATCAGAGGTTGTACAAACAGTTTCTCAGCTCCAATGGTTAGTTCTGTTTTTTTCTTTTCTTTCTTACATATGATTGTAAGAACCCGTTTGGTGCAGATTTTCATTGACTATTCCCCCAACTTTAATACTTGGTTTGATTGCCATAAACATTAAATGGGTTCAATCAAAATTTATTTTTGGTCTCACTCATCTTCAGTTCCTCGGAAACTAGATTGTACTGGGTATTTACTCATTTTGCAGCTTGTTTGGAATTGAATGATTTGGACAGAAAAGATTAGAAGGGGAAAAAAAAAAAAATCAATTTCTTTTTTTCTGATCATCTGTTTGGATTCTTAAAGATGAGAGAACTAAGAAGAAATGGAGCGAGTTTCTCTTAAAATTCACTTTTTGAATCTCTCCAAAATGTAGAGTTTGAGAGAGAAAAAATGGGGTGATTACTAGCTTTTTGTAATACAAAAAGTTTCCATCTTGATACTAAACAGAAAAGCATAAAAGGTTATTTTGATAGTAGAACCTATAGTAATTTCTTTTCTTTTAGTCTATCCAAACAAACAAGATAGGAGATACATCACTATATTTTCTTGTGTCTCCAGCTTAACCAAACAAAAGGAGAGAAAACACTCTCTTATCATTTCTTTTCCGTTTTCTGCTGGATTCCCAACCGATAGTGTTCTTGGGTAAATAATAATAATATGCATGTGTTTGTACTGTATCTTATCTGTCTGTGTAGAAGTAAAATTGTCGATGAAATTGTTGCTAGCTTTTGTTGATTTGTTAATCCATTAATCACTGGCAGATTCCACTCCCGTGCCACTGACTCGGGATTATGGTGGGCCGGTAGTTCGGTATGCTGATGGGGTGTTTGATTCACATTTTAACCGTTACATCAGTGTAAGAGAAGGTATATCTCTTAATTGTTATGAACTACCAAGCATTTTGGTTCCTTGCTCTTCTTATTTTATTTTTTCTTCTTGTTGCTGCCTGACTTTTATTACTTTCATATGCCTGAATGAATAGTTTTTCTTTGGTAGATCATCGAGGAAATAGCGTACATCCGACCACTGAAATTGTAAGCATTGACCTCAGTGGGGAGAATATTCAGGGTAAAATAGTTTTAGGAAGCCATTTTGCAAATTGAATTATGGTTTACGTAAATTGCTCTCTCTCATGGTGGTTACTGAATATTTACTTGATTTTCTAACAAGCAGAGCCAAAAGTATTGGTCAGTGGGAGTGATTTCTATGCTTTCCCACGCATGGATCCAAAAGGGGAACGATTAGCATGGATTGAATGGAGTCACCCCAATATGCATTGGGACAAAGCTGAGCTTTGGGTTGGTTATATTTCTGAGAATGGGTGAGTAGCTCCACTGTTTCTCCATTTTTAAGTGCTATAGTTTCTAGTATGAATGGAAAATGACTCAAAACGAAGCATTTGCACAGGGTCTGTGATCTTTATAATCACTGCTACATATTTTCATTCTCCTCTGACTTTCTATAGATGATTGTATGATAAATCTTTCATATGGCTCATTATGATGCTTATCAATCTGTGTTATATGTGAGTAGAATATATAATTTAAATCCTACAAGAATCTTATCACCAAGAGTTGAAGGTCTATTTTTGTCCAAGGATTAACATTTCTGAGTGTTTCAAGTTTTATCTTGTTATGATTATTTTCTGAGCATGTATTCCTATAGTATTGTAAATTTTTTGCATCCTTTTCGCCCTCAAATTCTTGTGCGTATTTCTATCAACAGAAACTAGCATTATTTCTGAAATAGCATTACGGATTATCTTGACTGTTGGTTGGGAAGTCCCAAGCATATGTAGTTAACTGTCTGAGATTTTAATATTTAACTATTTTGTTGTTTAGATTAATGTTTGGTGCATCCCTGGAACCAAATAAATCTTTTCCTAGTTCATTTTTTTAAAATTGTAGTGCTGAATCAATTATGCAGAGATATCTACAAACGCATCTGTGTTGCCGGTGCAGATACTTCAATTGTAGAATCTCCAAGTGAGCCTAAATGGTCCTCCAAAGGTAAGAATATCACCAGCATCTTATGCAGTTCAGTATCTATGCAGTTAATGAACTATCACAAACTGTTTAGATGGGTGTCTGTCTGGTGACCTTAATTAATGATGAAAGACTAATCCATTACATTTGGGCTATTGCAGGGGAGTTGTTTTTCGTTACGGATAGAAATAAGGGGTTCTGGAATATTCATAAATGGGTAATCATAGTGTAAACTCCCATGAACTTTAATTTTCCCTCAGTAACATTTTGACTTCAGTGGATTTTGAATTTGCATTCACATCTCTCAATAGTTTTCCTTCGAATGCATGTCCCTTCTCTAAACTGTATGCCTTTTATTTCTGGTTGCCAATTCATGCTTTGTGCTGCATTGAAGTTGTTCGTGGTTGGAATCTGTTTAATCTAATCATACATTGTATGCAACAAACTAAGTTTATGTTGATTGAGTCGGATGTTCTTTATGGAATTACTTCACGAAGATTCTCACAGAAATATCTTTGTTATAATTCGCTGGAATTTGAAGATCTTTCAGTTTCAATCTCATACAACTCAGTATGAAACTCAAATCAAGCATGATGTGGATTCAATACATTGTTTCTAGATATTAACTAGGCCCAAGGTTCTTGTTTGCATACACACATATTTTAAGACTTAAAACTTGTTACTTGCCTGCAGTTTCTTCACTCTCATGTGGTAATAATGAGATTTAAAAATAAAAATAAAAAAAAAACAAAACAAAAACTTCTACTTTGTTACTATTTCTACATCATAGTTAGTTTTCTTTCTCCCTTATTTTTTTCTGGTTAGCTATTGATAATTGAAATGTTGATCTCAATGTCCTGTTTTGTTGATCTTGCATTGTTAAATCGAGAGCAATTCAGCTGGGTTTTTTTTTCAAATGCTTTATTTTCCGTTTGCTACATTTTTCATATAGGATACAAAATTTATTCTAACAAGTAAAGCTTGCGGGTTAATATCGCTTGTTCTTATGGATCCATCTTTGGACACAGATTGAAGAGAGAAGTGAAGTCCGAGCAGTTTATTCTTTGGATGCTGAGTTCACTAGAGCATTGTGGGTTTTCGGAATCAGTTCCTATGATTTTATTCAGAGCAATGAGCAAACAAATGTACTGGCTTGCAGTTACAGGTATCTTTCTGTAGAAGATACCTGCTTCATTTTCAGTTTTGATGTTGTAATTGTAACCTATGGCACATTTGTTCATTTGGCCTTTACTTTGTTCATTCTTTTGGTGCATACATTTCTGAATGAGTAGGTCTGTAAATCATGATACGCAGGCAGAACGGGAGGTCATATCTTGGTGTTATTGATCAAGTTCAGAACTCTTTGTCAGCCGTTGATGTTCCTTTCACATATATAACCAATATTGTATGTTTGAAGTATTAACTTTTCCTTTTTTTTAATCAATAGAATTATAATTCTGTATTGGAGACTGAAAAAAGAAAAGAAAAGAGAGAGATCTTATGCTTTGATTAGATTTATTGAAGATTCAGAAGTCCGAGGATGATGTAAGGTTTGATGTCCCTGCTAAATCTTCTCATCTCTATGTTTAGATTTCAGGGGACAATTGCCTATACATTGAGGGAGCGTCTGCAACCCATCCATTGTCATTAGCAAAGGTGCTCCTCATTTCTGCGTATTTTTTTACTCCTTTCCCTTGGCAGATATAGCGCGAAGTGTCATTTTTCAATTGTCTAGTTTTAATAAACTCCATTATGTGTTAGCAGGTGGTTTTAAATGATCAGAAGTCGAATCCAGTGAACTTTCAGATTATTTGGTCTTGTTCGTCAGAAACTGACAAATACAAATCATACTTCAGTTCGCCGAAGTTAATTGAATTTCCAACGGATGTTGCTGGTCAAAATGCTTATGCATATTTTTATCCGCCATGCAACCCCCATTATCAGGCTAGTCAAGAAGAAAAGCCTCCACTATTACTGGAAAGCCATGGTACATTATCAACCACGCCCATATTGCCTTTGTATTTTCACTACTTTCTAATTGGTCAGGTCATGCCATTCCTTGTACTACATGTTTCTTTGCCAATAATGATGATTTTGAATTGTTTGAAGAAAAAGATTTTGGAGTTGTCTTGGAATTTTGAGTTTGGTGATGATTTTCGACATATGCACAAATAGTTGGGATAAGTCTTTGTTGAGTTGAGTTGAGTTGAGTTGAATTGTATATGCACAAGGATCAAAGGCTCATAGATAATAGAGCAGTCACACATGCACAAAGATTGACCAACCAACCACCGACCCACCTATCCTCATAAAATCCAAAAGTAAGCAATACTCGGCACAACTTAAATCTAGAGCTTACCATTTCACACACGGTAAATATTTATGGGAGAAGGTTACTCAAACAGTTACTTCTTATGCTACTATAGTAGTTATTAACTTATTACTCACTGGTGTTGACATAGTCCACTAATCGTTGTTATCAGTCATGGGTAGTATAGCTGGAGCTGATGAGACTGTGAGGAGGGCATAGGTGAATTGGAAGTTGTAAGGATTTTATTCAGTAATAATTTTGGTTTGTTTTTGTGTCCAGACTAGTAACTCGCCTGTGGATTAGAATTTATTTGTTTATTGTTTTTTAAAACTAAGTGTTCAAGCTTATATGAAGCCTTCAACTATCTTTGGCTGTGTGTCACAAGTTGACTTTTCAAGTCCAATGTTGTGATGCTTGCATGTGTGGTGGCCTTTGGTGTGCTCAGTCAATGTCTTTGGAAGTGCCTATTATGCGTGTGGCATTGGATTCCATGTCAAGTGGTTTAGCTCCCCAACTTGGCCTGTGGGTTGGCCCCAAGTAGTCCAACGCATGCATGTCAAGGAGCACGCACAACAGTTCACGCACGCCCATGCTTGCACACTAGTTGGTGCACATCAGACAAGCTTGTGCTGATTTTTCATATTTTTGGGAACTAACGGAAAATCATTATGACTCCTCAAATATGGGTGGATATTTCTTCTTGGCAGTTAGCAAATGGCTTAAAACGCTATATTAAAGGGTATGGTGTGCTATCTATCAGCCTCTTATTTTATTTAAACTAATATACCTGAATGGAATGGAAATTTAAACCCCCACTCTACCTCCAACACCCAATCCCCAGAAATTCATGTGTGTTTGAAGGGAGCATCCTCGAGGCAACTTGGGGGCAGACATTTGGCACCTAGAGGGGTGTCATTGGTCTTCATGTGGGTTTGAGAGCCCCATGGGCAGTGTCATTAAGGAGCATTAGTGCCAACACTACATGGCATTCCTTGACATGAGGTTGGGGACACATGCGTGCTATGCCACTTATTGTAGCATCTTGGGGTGTGGTCTTAAATTGAATGGGCTATCGAGGCGCCACCAAAGTCTCATGTGCCAACTCACGAACATGCGCTTGGGTTCGGCCATGAACGTGGGGATCTTGTAGCCTAAAGCTAGTTGTTTGGTGGTAACGCCGCTACATGTGGGAACATTTGAAAGGCATGAAGCATTGCCATTGTGTGAGGCACATTGTGCTATGCTTGTGGGAAGGCGTAATGCTAATCGTGGGCTATGGATCAATGTTGCCGTACTCGTGCAACACGCAAGAGTCACCATGGCTATTCTAGATACGCACAAGAGACCCTTACATGTGATTGAAGCTTGGCAACTAGGTTGGGGGCCTATACTCAATGGCAACCACAAGAATTTTTGTAGACAGGGTCATTCCACAAACTTAAGTTCCATAAATTCTATTAAGGAATTTTCTTTTAAAAAAAACAAAACAACATTCACTCTATTTGGTTTTAAATTTTTAAAAGCAATTTGAGATTTTATTTTTTGTGTTTTGTTGTTTTTAGATTTTTTTTTTCATATTTAGCAAATTTTTTTAGGTGCATATAACCTATATCTATATGTATATAAAAAGTAAAATACTTGTGAAAAAAATATAAAAAAAAAAAGAATTAAGAATGTACTGAATTTTTGCTAGTGAATTTTTAAAATATTTTTTCACAAATATTTTATTTTTTAAATGTATCTAGATTAAGAGAATCTATTTTAAAAAAAAAAAATTGCTTAAAATATTTAAAAAGTTAAGAAGGGGGGGGGGGGGAATCTCAAAAACTGTTTTTAAAAACTGTTAACCAAACAGAGTGATTTAAACTTCTCAAATAATAGGTGTCTAGTGAGTTTGAATCCCTATTGGATGGGGTCGTTTAATTTCTTAATGGAATTAAACTATATTAAATAAAATATTAACAATATAAATAAACAAATTTGAGGAGTTTTGATAGCTTCGTGTGGTCTTAGGACCCCATAACCACTGCCTATGCTAGCACACAGTTGGGTGATATGAGTTTGGCTTAACAGCACTAAGGTATGCAGTCGTGTGGCAAGAGGTGCCTTGACGACATTAGAATCTTGTAGTTGAACAAGCACCTTGCTTGTGGGAGCATGGTGCTATGAAGCGACTTAGCCGTATGGATGTGCAGCTTGAGGCAAGCATGTCACAAGGCTGCATTTGAAGTACGAGGCTTTTGCAAGGGAGTTGTTCTTGATTGACAAAGCATTGGGCCCACAAATGTCAAGATGGGTGTAGATTCAACACTCAGATTGTCTAAAAGAGATTGCCGGACTTGAACTTGGTGGAGTTTAAGCGGTTGATTCCGCTGCATACTTGAAAGAGTTGGTCCATGACACTATGCCCCTCAATAAACAACTAAATGTTATCTACAGAACTACCAGTTGTCTTCCTATTGTTCTTACATTTGTTTCTATAATATCTTTGCTTAAGAACTGCATTGTTACAAATATTATCTTGGATCAGAACTTCTGATGGATGATTGGTACTCCCATGTCCCTGTGACTAACCCTTCATAAAGCCCCCCTCTCTAGTTACTAGTTTCACCATTAGTCACCATTGCGTAGACCATTAGACTGTTGGAAAAACATCTGGAATCTTTGTTTGCTCCGGTATTAAGAATGAAGATGAATATATGCACCACTGAGTCAAATCATCTCCATGTAAATCGACTATCATATGCTCTGAGAGTACCTCCCTCAATCTACGTGCAAATAGCTTGGCTAGAGAATTCTTTGAGTTTGTAGTATAATGCATTGAGTTTATTCTTACCCTTGATAGATATTGCCTATAGGACACCTTAAATTTTGTTTCTGGGGTTTGCATTACAATCAGAATGTTGCTTGTGGTAGATTAACTGTTAATTTTGTTTATTTATATTATTGATGGGTATGAGGCAATAATTTTTCTGTTGAGTTTTCCACAATCTCTGGTCCATTTTTGTTTCTTTGTACTGTGTACCTGTTATCTTACATTTTATTAGGATGTTTTTTATCTTTCCTTTTTTGTTCTTTGTGGGGAGGGGGAATTAAAAGGTACTTGATTAGTACATACATTAGAGGAACTCCATTTTGTTGGGCTATCAACTGGAGCTCAGAAATTGGGAGTTCAAATTCATGTGATTAATATACTGTAAAACAACATGCTGAATTTCAAACTTTTGTGCCGGTCATTCGTAGTTCATCGTATATAAATATCACAGGAGGGCCAACAGATGAAGCACATGGAATCTTAAATCTCAATATCCAGTATTGGACGAGTCGAGGCTGGTCATTTGTGGATGTTAACTATGGAGGAAGCACAGGTCAGTTGTCAAACTGGAGCTATTTTTTCTAAGTGACTGGAGTTAATTTATGTTTTCTCCGTGGTCAAAAGGACTACTTGGACAAGGTTTTGGCTGGTGTTACTTACCCATTTCCAGATTTTCCTTTCACTCCGAGGAATGCCTTATAAACAAACAAAATCTTTTAAACTTATCCATAATCACTAAATAGGGTATCTACTGAAGTTACTATGTATGTCAATTGAAGGTTATGGCAGGGAATATCGGGAGCGCCTCCTGGGATCATGGGGAATTGTTGACGTTAATGATTGTTGTAGTTGTGCTAAATATTTGGTAACTTAACGTGCCTGTCTACACTCCACATTTTTTTTTGAACAAAAAACATTTTTTTTAATTTTACTTTAGATATGTTTACTTGTTGGTAAAGGTGGATGATGGAAAGGTGGATGGTGAGCGTATCTGTATTACTGGGTGTTCTGCCGGTGGTTACACAACATTAGCTTCTCTTGCTTTCCGTGAAACATTCAAGGCTGGAGCTTCCTTGTTTGGTGTGAGTGGTTCTCACGGCAATCGACTATTTGTTCATTTTTTACAAAGGACAACTTGATATGAAATCTCTCTTTCGAATATGGTTCAAGTGTATAACATATATAGCCTACTTATTTCGCCTTTTAAATTTTATCAAAAATCATTAAATTTTACTTGATTTGTGTCATGATATAATTTCAAACCATCATTTCTCTGGTTATTTTTTAATTTGTTTTTATTTTATTTTTTAGACTAACAAGCATCTATTGTTTGCATTGAACAGATAGCTGATTTGAACTCTTTGAGAGCAGAAATGCATAAATTTGAGTCCCATTATATCAGTAATCTTGTTGGTAAATATGTAACTAACATACACGTATCGATTTGGGTTATTCTGTTGTCTACACTGCGTAGGTAAATCTTTCATTTGATTGCATCTGATTACAGGGGGTGAAGAAGCTTTGTTTGAAAGGTCACCCATCAATTTTGTTGATAAATTCTCTTGCCCAATAATTTTATTCCAAGGATTAGAAGACAAGGTATACAGCTCCATCACAAGTTTTATAGTCACTTGGGTTACAGTAGGAAATTTAGTTTGAGTTAACAATTTTGAAGTTTTATATGCTGTTATTGTAGTCAGTTAAATGGAACTAGAAATGAATCCATTGTTTATCAATTTTTGTTCTGTAATTTCTCCTTCGACTGGCTATCCAAAAACTCCCAATCTCTTTGATCTTACGTTTCAGAACTCACTAATAAATGTTGCAGTTTTATAATACCCTATTTGGATAATACTAACTGTTATTATACTTGTAACAAATATTCTTAACAGGTTGTGCAACCAGAGCAAGCCCGGAAAATATATATGGCATTGAAGAAAAAGGGTCTACCTGTGGCTCTTGTGGAGTACGAGGGAGAGCCTCATGGATTTCGGAAGGTATCTGTATTTGTTACTAATGTTTCAAAAGTTCACCAATTTCTAAAATTTGGCATGTGGTTTTGGTGCTCATTATTCAAGTTCTGTTATTTTCAACCTACACACAATGTTTCAGACATTCTGATAAATTTCACAGCACTTTGGAGGTTAACGACCTCTTTGGTTTAAAAAAACAGAAAACTCATTGGGCGAACTGTTTACAAAAACTTTTTTTGAGAAAATTTTCAGAAAACACCGCAAAGGAACCACTAACTCGTTTGGTAACATTTCTATTCTATGTTTTCTATTTTCATTTTTATTTTTAGTTTATTTGGAATTTGGAAACAAAAACTTGGTTGATATATTGTTCTTGTTTTTATAAAAAATGAAATTGATTCCAATTTTTTTTTATAATTTTTTAATACGAAAAAAAGTGTTTTCAGATTAGAAGTTTTCACTCTTCCCTCCCTCCCCCACCACTGCCACCAGCCACAGCTACTGCTGGTTTTCAACTCCAGAGGCAACCCCAACATGAGACCACCACATTTGGCTACCCTCCACCACCAGCCACCACTTCCCACAACTCATCAAACATGTATCTTTGATTTTGTTTTCAAAACAATTGTGTACACCAAACAAATTTTTTGTTTTTCACACAAAAATCTTTATTTCCTGTTTTGTGTAGACAGAAAACAAGAACAATAAATTGATAACGTTAAAAGGTTGCTTTTGAATTTTTGTTTATTGGTTTCACACAAAAAATGAAAACGATGAATGTTTTCGATCTTCTCATTGTTTTGTTTCCAAAAACATGGGAAGTGAAAATGAAAAACGAAAACGAAGAAAATGAAAGAACAACCGCACAGGGACTGAAACCTTGATTTGATGTAACTAGCAGTAACATCTGTCCAAACAATAAAACATCTGTGGTGAAAGTAAGCACTGATTTAAGTTGATTGGTCACAGGCTGACAACATAAAGTTCACTCTGGAGCAACAAATGGTGTTCTTTGCTCGTACTGTTGGACACTTCACAGTTGCTGATGAGATTGTTCCAATTCAGGTTGACAACTTTGATTAGACTTCATGCCCTTATCTGTCAAAGGTCTACAAAGATTGGTTCTTGATTACCTCAAATAGCAACCTTCATGCTCCTTAATTATGTTCTAACTGAACCCGACTTTATCTACACATGGAAACCTTAAGCTAGGGACTAAATGCTTCAGGTAACCACTCCTTTCAAAGTAAAAATGAAACCGTTTATCGCCAGGTGTTTTTGTTTTTGTTCTCTCTTTGTTCTTTCTTGATTGCCATGACAAGTACTGTCCAGATACATGAATTGCTGTTTAGTCTTCTTGTAGAAACACACTTGAGGAATTTGGAGCGTAAATGCTCTACGATTATTTGTATTGCCAATGGAATGTGTGTTTTTGCAGCCCAGTATATATTGTTGGCTTGGCTTTCATTCTTGTGCAGGACTCTTATATTGTCTGGTTTATTGCTATAAAAATGGAATTGAATATCTATTTTATTATAGTGCTCATTCTTGTATTTGGTTTATTGAAAAAATACATTATAAATAGAATTATTATTTACTATTGTAAGTGAATGGCCTTTTGTAAGGAGATTAAGGAATGAAAATTTCGTTAGATTCTACTTTTATTTCAGTAAATCAAACAAGACATTGTATGCATCAATAAAATAAAAAAGTGAATGGTTTTTTTAATAGAAAGATCAAGGTATGATATTTTCATTTTAGTAAATTAAACATAACATTATTTGCATCAATACAAGTGGGTTGTGCACGGTATTTTTCGGACGGTTTGAGAGTAAAATTATAAATTAAATGATGGATTAGCAGATTGGTAGATCAGTAAATCACGATTTGAGCAGATGGTAAATCGCAGTTTGGGCGGATTGATGGATAGAAAAATATTTTAATCAATTATTATGCATTTGCCTAATATATAGTACTAATTTGCATAATATTATATATATATATATATATATATATATAACATAAATTAATTTTACATAATATTTTTCATATATATAACTATTAAATTGTAATAAATTTTATATCTTGCCTTGTTTGGGGTACCCTATTTTAGTCAATCTTTTTATTTTTTTTATCTTTTTTAGGTTACATCAATCAATATCTCCTCTCTACTTTTTTATACATCTTTTTCTAAAAAGTCAAAAAGTGCACTTATTTAGAATATCAAAAATCACCCATAAATCTCTCTCATTTTTATTTTGATATTTTATTAGAGGTTAAAAAATATATATATTACCTATAGCAGAGTTGAGCAATTTCGAAGGCGGATTATAAATTTTAAAGTTTAATCCGCGATTAGCGCGGATAGAGTAGTGCGAATTAATACCATTTTAACATATTGAGTAGTATTTTAAACAATCCAAAATACAAGCAAAAAAAAAAAAAACCGCAGGCATGTATTTTTTGTCGCATTGTCACATTACCAAAAACCAAAATCAAGGTATAAGAGAGTAAATAGATTTGTGCTGCAGACCACCTCACTAGCGAGTGGGGCACGCCCGAGCATGCAGGTTCACATGGTGGAGTTAGGTTCTGCACAAGTGTTATTTGTGTAGACCACCCTATTGGTAAAGACAAAAATACTTGGTAGCTTGAATTTGTGTGAGTCAAATGATTTGAATGTATTAAAATGACGTCTTTTTGAGACATTCGAGTCATTTTAGCTATGAAAATTCGGACTATCAAGTATTGTTGATTGGCAAAGTACGTACTAAGATATTTTTCGTTTTGTACTATGACGACACACATGATTTTGTTCTTCTTTGATTGGAAAAGGCCTCTTAGAGGTTTGTGAGTATGACACTTTATAAAGTTAGTCAAGAGTTCCTAGTTAATCAATGTAGGATAGATTTCAACTCTCACAAGTAGGGATGTAATTGGTTCAGTAAGGTCAGCATTTAGATAAAAAAATTTACCAAACTGAAAATGTCAATTTTATTGTTTTGAATACGGATACAAACCGCTTCTCTCATCAAACCGCACCGAACCAAATCAAACTGATTGAAAAAGTGTGGTTTAATCAATCTAAGACCTTTTCAAATTCGAGCCACTTTTTGATATAATCACTAATCTATATAAAAACATTAAATTAGTTTTTATCCAGCACTTCAAATATATCTAATATATCCATTTAATAAATACTTTTCAATCTCTAGATTAACAAAAATACAAATAAAAAAAAAGTTAAAAATACTTAAACTTTAAGAATAATGAGTTAGAGGTAAGATCATATATAATCAGAGTTTATCAACTTAGATTATAAAGATGATAATGTTAATTAATTAAAGTTAATAATTTATTATACTAATTACTATCATTATATATGTTAAAGCGGTCAGTTTTGGTTTAGTTTGGTGTACAAAGTATTTGAACCGATACCGAACCAAAAATCATAAAAAAATTAAATTTAAAAACCGTACAAACCAATTCTTGTTAAAAAAAATACCAAATATAACGGTTCAATTGATTTCAAATTGTAGAATTCAAAATTTATGTTATGTTATGTTTAGATTGTAGATTTGTTTAAGAAATAAAATAAAAAGGAAATAAAATTATTTATACATTATTAATTTTTACGGGTAACTAAACAAAATATGAAATTGTCTAATAAATATCTCTATTCATATTTTTCTTATTCTCTTAACTCAATTTAAAAAGGGAAAAAGTTAATTTTTGTGACTTTATTTTCCTTTCTGCTTTTCTCTTTATTTTTTTTTTCTTTTTTATTCACACATTTAAGATCCAGAGGTTACCTCTATGTGGTTAGGCCACATTTAGGCCAAGTTTGGCAAGTTGTCAAAAAATCAAAAAGTTACTCAAAAAGTTAAAAAGTTATCACTATTCACCAAAAGTCAAAAATTACGGCTGCACAACTCTCGGTCTTAATTTTTCTCTACACACTAATTTATACAATTTTTTAATACACATTTTTCCATAAAAAGTCAAAAAATTAACTCAAACATCCATATTTTTTCCTCAATTTTTTAATCCAAAAAGACAAAAAATACACTTATTTAGGACACCCCAAACAACCCTTAAGATCCAAACATAACACTAGTATTTTTGAACTAAATGAAAAGTCAAAAAGAAATGAACTCATTTTGTGATCACCAAGAAATTAATAATAATTATAGTGAAACGATTGGGATTTTTGATCAAAACACCTTCAATATTGTATTGAGAAAAAGACACATTAATTAAGTTTATTGGGAAAACTCTCTCATTTAATTTTTTGTAGGTTTAAAGGATTAAAAAAAAAAATCATAAATTAAATTAATGTCCAACTTTGTCCATCATTATAGGAATGAATTTCATTATCATATTCATCTTTCCTCCTTGTCTCCCTATTTTACAGGAATTTCTCTCTTCTACAATATTTCCTCTCCTCTCTTCTACAGCTCTATATATCTCTCTTTCTCTCTAACACAAATATTTACAATCTCCATCGTTCGGCGATCACTTCTCATCACCTTTATCGTCGGTCGGCATTGCTCATCGTCACCACCATTTATTGACCTCTTAGATCTACTATCGATGACAACCATTTTCATTGTTCATTGACACTGCTCATCGTCTCCACCATCAATCATCATCTCAAATCTACCACTGATGACCATCATCTTCACTATCAATATTCAACAACTCAAATTTGCTACCCATGAACTCATATTTGAGATTGACGACTTCAAATCTAAGACTAACGGCCTCAGATTTGTTAGAAAAAGGCCACTAGAATTGTCCGTTTAGGCTCTATAGCGAACAGGAAAATTTTACTATCAATACAGAGTAAAATTTTACTTTGGTAATATTGTTTGTTCAATATTTTGATAATTTTTTGTTTAATATTTCTACTAATAACGGTAAAATCATAGTAAGTGTGGTAGTTGGTGGTAGTGGTGGTGGTGGTGGTAGGGTGAAAATTCATTGCTTAAATGTTAAATTGATACAATAAAATTTTACTATCTATAAAATTAAAAATTGTGAATAGATCTTTTATTTTATTTTTTTCCTGAGTGGTGGCAATGGTGATGGTTGTCATTAAAGCTGCAGATTCACATCAGAAAAGTGTTCTTTGGAAAATGATCATTGGTGATCTAAGGTTGGAAGGCAATCATCAAGAATGACCAGCCACCACCAGAGACTTTCGGAGGTAGTGGTCGTCGATGGCCAATGGTTGGCAGTCTAAGGTGGTAGTAGTCTTAGATGGCGAAATTGTTTGGTTATCTTTGTTTTTTTGAGGATTAAATTTTTTATTTTTTGTATTTTGGCCGTCGATGGCCAGTTGTTAGTAATGTAAGGTGGTGGTAGTCTCAAATAACAAAGTTGTTTGGTTATCTCTGTTTTTTTGAAAAATGAGCTTTTTTTTATTTTTATTTTTTATTTTTAGTTAATTTTTTTAATATTTAAAAAAAAAAATCTAAAAAATTTCAAAATATAACTCAAAATTCAAAACTCAAATTTTTTTTCAAAATTCAAAAACTTTTTCTAAAACTAATAACCAAACCCCAAATACAAAAAAAAAAAAAAATGAAAATTCTGTATATTTTTATATTTTGTTCTGTTCAATGAATTTGTTAAAAAATGTCATACAAATTATATATTTTTTAAGTATATCAAGATTAGGTGGATTTAAAAAGTAAAAAAAAAATTAATTAAAATATTTTAAAAATCACTAATTAAAAACTCATAAAATTATTTTGAAAATTCCAAAATCAAATAGAGTGAACTTGGGATATTTTTGTCATAATTTAATTATATTATGATAGTTGTCCTTAATGAATGATAACTTTTTAGCTTGTCCCTTTTACCAAAAAAAAAAAAAAAAAAAAAAAAAAAACTAAGAGAACCTTTCACCAAAGCATTTGGATCCTCTACAGTAAAGCTCTCTAGAGTGTATGTGGAGTGAATCAAAATGACGTCATTTTGATTTAGATGATGTCATTTTGATTAATGTAAAAAACAAAAAAAGGAAAAGACAAACAGTTAAAACAAAATGACCATCTTCGATCAACGCCCCAGCTCCTCATTCTATTCTTTTTCTTCTTTTCCTCCTAACGGGAGTGGGCAGTGATGACAGCAGTGGTTGCAATCTGGGTTTACAGTGGTGGACGATGATGGCAACAATGGTGGATCACGATCTGGGTTATAGCGATGGTAAAGCTAGATCTAAGGTTAGGGTTTTAGCAGAGGAGGAAAAAGACGATGAAAATGAAGAAGAAGAAGAATATAGAAAGATGATGAGAAGAGAAGGGGACGACGGACAGTAGCGGTTGCTATTTGGGTTTGCGGTGATGGGCGATGATGGCAATGTGTAATAACCCCGACCTCCGATTAATGCTAAACCATGATTATTTATACCTAACAGTAATTTAGAAGGAATCCAGAATTAAATTGCATATGTATTGCAT